TCTTGCTGATATTTCAAATGATTCCATTTTTGCTTCAGAAGCAGATTCTACACAAATAGAGACAACGCAATCATCATATAGTGGGGGCGATCCCAAGAGGATATTTGGACTGAATTTGATGCTATTCTCTATTGAAGAGGGAAACATAAAGGGGCACGATATAGGTATTGTAAAACATCATAGGCTCGAGGAAAAGCTCACGATATGAAGGCTCACATCGCATTAAAATGTAAAGGAAAAGTGCCAAAAGTTATTCGAGTCAAGGCGCTTTGGGACATTCAAAATGAGGATGGGTTAATGCAATCTGGAACATCTACCTCAAAAAAAAAAAAATCAGGCTATTCTATGTTAACTATGGATGCATACTACAACACAAAAGAAGCTATTGATAAAACTAAAGAAGTAAGGGCCAATAAATTGCTGATCAAATGGATTATGTGTTCCGGTATCTCATTTTCCACCTTTGACTCTCCTTATTTTGAGAATTTTACAAAGATATTAAATCTAGGGTATAATTCACCTAAGAGAACTACATTAGCAACAACAATCTTGGATATAGAAGCAGCGAACATAACACTAAAAATAAAGAAAGAACTATTGAAATCTAAAAATCTGATATTGTGTATAGATAGTTGATGCAGTCTATTAAAATGTAGCATATACGCCTTTGTGATAATGACAGATGAGAAGAAACAATATATTTATTCTTTACGTGATTTTTTGATGTTCTCTCATACGGCAAATTTTAATGCTAAAAAAATAATAGAAGTTATAGAAAATGTTGGAACTGAAAAATTTGTTGCAGTGGTATCTGATGCAGAATCAGTAATGACAGCGGCAAAACGTCTAGTTGCAACAAAATATTCGCATATTTTACCTGTTAGATGCATTGCACATCATATACAATTAATTTCTAGCAGTATCTGCCATTTACCTTATGCACGAGCTATTCTTTCCAACTGTCAAATAGTCATAAAGTTTTTTAGAAATTCTTATATTGCTGGTGCCGCCCTTAATCAAGAAATTATATCTACTTTCACTATTGGTGGAAATTTAAAATCAAGTACTAAAACCCGGTGGTCAACAGCATGGGATTGTTGTGAATCAATTATACGCAATAAAGTAAATATTAAATCGGTATTATTCAATTAGATTTTTAATATATATATGAGTGCCGCCAAGGGAAACATGCAAATCTTATATAATAAGATTTGTGGATTTTCTCTTGATGGCACTCATATATACACATAATCATATCTTTATTAAGATAACCTATTTTAACAGGTTTTAGAACAAGATCCTCAAATTTTTAATCAGGCAAATACTGTAAAAGAGATAATTAGTAATCGGCAATTTTGGATTGACATAGAACAATTGCGGGATATTCTTTGCCCAGTAAAATGAGCCATAAAAAATGTAGAGTTCCGAACTACCTTGTTAGCTGATGTGTTTGTTGAACTAGTAAAATTGGCGATCGCAATTAAAGAAACTTCTGTTTTATATAATAGCCAATTTTGACGAGATTGTATTGCTATTTATAATAAGTGAAGGAAAGAATTTGATACGGATTTGTATCTTTTGTCCTTTTTTTACATCCAGCTTACCGAGGTACTTAAAAAATTATGTATTTAGGCTACTTTAGAATGCATATTTTTAAATTTTTTTATTTTTTTTTATTAAAGGTAATTTTTTTGAGCTTAATATATATAAGAATCATATTTTTAAGAAAGCTTTAGAAATAGGAAGAAATTAGATGGTGGTCGAACAAGTGCAGATCTTCTAAAAACTCAAATGAATTTGTATAAAACTCACGAGCCTCCCTTTGATGATAAATTTATTGTATCCGTTAATACAATTACTAATTAGTGGATGTCTATAAAAATGACAAGACATGAAGATCATATTAAAAGCCTTGCTCTAAAAATACATTTCATTTCACCCCATAATGCTGCCTGTGAGTGTGTTTTTAGCATACTAGGATGGTATTTCGGAAAAAGAAGAACTAGGTAGGTTTATTTTAAGTATATGAATTCAGAATTTCTTAGTTAAATTAATCTATATGTATACGCAATTTGTTTTAAGTATCATATAATTACATGATTAAGGATGATAATGTAAAAGCCAAGTGGGATCAGTGATAACTTTAGCTCACGTGATGGATTAACAGAGTCCCGTAAGTTTCGTTCTCTACCACAATTTTCACAAGTAACCAACGTGAATGGCAATATTTGATTCCACGAGTACACCAGAATTTGAGTATTAATAAGCCGAATCAAAGTTACAAGCCAATTTAGTTTGTCGAATTGAGTCTCTAAAGGGTTTCAAAAGATAAAGTCTTAAGGGAAAATTCAGATAAGTATATATTTTTTAATATCTAGTGGTAATTGAAAATGACATGTACTGTCTTCTAGTTTATTAAATTTAAGGTTCTTTCTTATATGCATTTTAATTTTCAGGAACGTAGACACCAAAATTATAACGTTTACACTCAAAATCTAACGATGTATAGTACATTAAATCTGGGTGTGTACCGTATTTGCGCGTAATAACGCGCAGGGGTGTAATTTCGAATTTCGGCCTAAATTAAGCTTAATTCGGGCCATTACTCGAAATAACGCCCCGGCCCGCAAATACGGTACATCATAAAATTAACGAAAGTCCTAAGGAACAGTCTATGTGTAATCACGTATACGCGAATTTTTTGGTGTTTACGTGATGCATTTGATTTTCACGCATCGGAGCCACTAAGCCACCTTCAATGTCCATAATAGAATAAACGGTTAAATATTTACAACGAAATAGAACTAAGTGGTTACTATTGAATTGGAATTGTATCAAGAAAATATTTATGTATTTAGAAGGGAAATAAGAAAAATTTTTATTTTATTGAATTATAATATCGACTAACTAATAATTCTATTCATAACATTAGGGGCTGCGAAAGATAAGTTTTATTTTCTATTACATTCGTTTTGATTTTATACATTTTCCACCTTACTAATTACTCTCTTTTATGATACTACCAGTTTGTTATTCACCATTAATTGTTTCAGGGCTATTATCGGGTATGTTTCTCGTCCATTTGCCCATTTTTAGATATTACCACACTACTAAAATTACCTTTTTCTCCTTTTTCCCAACATAATAGTCAAACAGTTGTTTCAATCTAGCCATTTTGAAACATGGATCGTGAACACATCTCCTTCCAGATTTGGTATTGTTCGATTATTTGATTGTTCGATTCTTACCCACGACAATACGAATGGAAGGAATATATTCGGAAATCAGATGAAATAGGTGCCAAATTATTGTATAAAGTTTTTTTTTATTCTGAAAACTTAGTTAATCAAGGTATATTTAGTTCTATTGCTGATTTTGGATTATGTAAGCCAATACCGCAAGACTTAATTCTAAAGAACTTTTTGGTATGCTTTCTATATTGCCCAAATGTATTATATACAAATACATTCAATTAAATATTAATCTTTTGGAATAGGTGCATAAGGATTTTTATTTCGGAAATATAGTTAATAAAGGTATGTTTAGTTCTTATATTACTGATTTTGACTTGTGTCGCAATATTCAAATTCTAAAAAAATTTTTTATGCTTCCTGTATTGCTCCGGAGTATTATATACAAATAGTAAAGAATATACTTGAAATCAGATATTATTCTTTCAGAATAGAAACAAAATTAATGCATGAAGATTTTCATTTTAGAAATATAGTTGTTTCAAGATTAATTTTTATGTTACTGATTTTGGTTTTTGTAATCCAATGTCGCAGTACTAAAATTCTCAGAATCTTCTGGTGTGCTTTTTGTATCGTAGGAGCCAAATTAATGCATAAAGATTGTCATTTGGAATTATAGTTAATCAAGGTATGTATTTTTATATACGAAATTATGATATTGTATAATACAAGATTAATATATATTTTAACTATTTATGCCAACCAATAAAAGTAGGTACGTACAGCGACTGAATTTTTACAACAAATCACTATATCAATTACAATACAAAACAAACATAATTTTATGTATCATCTATGCCACCACTATAGTCAGTAAGAACAACTTATAGTACATCACTATACAAATTACAATACAAGACTGAGACAACTCTATCTAGATCACTTATACTATCATAATAGCTGGTAAGGATAATAACCGAATTTAGGGTTTGCCTTACTATTTTTTTGCTTTCCACTGTAAGACTTTTTTTAGCTTTCGTCCTTTAAAGGTTATCAGCTCCCGTTTGGAGGATTTCCTTTAATTCGAAGGTTTTTTTTTGTCTTTCGTTTGTTAAAGGTTATCAGCTCCTGTTTGGAGGATTTCCTTTAAATTCAAAAGTTTTTTTTTGGTTTACCTTATGCTTTTTAAAGGTTATCAGCTCCCGTTTGGAGGATTTCCTTTAATTTAGAAGGTTTTTTATCTTACCTTATGCTTTTTAAAGGTTATTAGCTCCTGTTTGGAGGATTTCCTTTAATTAGAAGGTTTTTTTTTAACTTATGTCTCTTAAAGGTTATCAGCTCCCGTTTGGAGGATTTCCTTTAATTAGTAGATTTGTTTTTTTTTTACTTTTCGACTTTAAGGGTTATCAGCTTCCATTTGGAGGATTTCCTTTAAATTCGAAAGTTTTTTTTTAATTTTACCTTACGCTCTTTAAAGGTTATCAGCTCCCGTTTGGAGGATTTCCTTTAATTAGAAGGTTTTTTTTTACAGCTGTTTTCAAAAAGGTGTGAACAACGATTTCCATATACATATGTGGGGAATCGAAGAATTGGGAAATTATCATTAGTAAAAATTGAAGATCCGATTAGAGCTGGCTTTGAAAGTTTTGGAAATCTGGGTAATTTCGTGAATTTCCCGTGATATAGTTATTGGCGTCTGTTCACACCTTTTTGAAAACAGCTATAATCCGTAGTTTGCAAATTGTGTAGCATGCAAATTTTACGAACGAAAAATTAAATCCTTGCTTATAGTTAGGGTAAGGGATTGGGCGAGGTATAGTTTATACCAAAATTTCGCAAGGAATTTTTTTTTATTAGAAGCCAAAAGGTGATTTCATAATCAAAATTTTGAGAAATCGGTTGGGTTCTATATTGCCCGTATACACACCCGTGTACAATGCAATTCCCTTCAAACCTAAAAAATAATATAAACGATAGGTCTGTCATTTATTTAGATATGTAACGATAATGCTTATTTAATAATGATATCGATACTGTCAATGTTAGCAACAATTTTAACGTTAATACTATCATGCTATGTATTTATGTTTACCGGCTAGGCAGCTTCACAGGATTGCAATTATTACTTTCTTATGCAATCCATCTGACACCACTAATAAAATGTATTATAATTAGGTGTCACCCATACGCAAGAGATCCTTCATAACTCTTGATACCATTGGTCTTCACTAAAATCAGAAGGCATTTTAAAACTAATAAAAAACAAATCTATAAAGTTCGATAAATATATTAAATATTAATTTATTATGTCTTTTATAAAGTCTTAAATAATATCAAAGTACGTATAATTTGAAATTTAAAGAAAAGTTTGATAAAAAAAGGATTAGAATTTTTATTTGAAAAAGTAAACTCGTGGTTAGATGAACCATACAAACTATATAGAAGTTACACTATCTTTTGATGAATTATTGAGAGCAAAAATGTAGTATAAAATATCGTCCAAAGTCACATTATGCGACTTTATAAGACAATTAAAAAATTTATTAAATTAGAGGTAGAGTCTTGCTATTAGGTTAGGGTTAGAAGGCCATAATTATACCAAGGATTTCTCAAGAAAACTTTTTGCTAGTGCGCAGAGAGCTCTTTATAGATAAGATTTTAAGTTACGAATGGTTTTTGGATGGTTTTGTATTTTTATTTATTTATTTTTTTTTTATGTGACCTCAAAATTTGATTGGCTAGAGAAATTTTTTAGGTTGATATTTTTAAATATATACTGTATTAGATAGTGCGTTATATATAATACTTTTGATCTTAGAAATAAACAAGCTATAACCAAAAAATGGGTCCATGACAGTGCCATGAGATTCATTTGTTTTATACTGTAACTGTATCGTTATTTATGTATAAAGTGGTTTATAAATTGTTGTCAGAAATATGCCACGTAGGATGTCGGATAATAAAATTATTAAGCCTACACATTACCCGAAACGGACTCGCCTGAAATTAGCTGCTGGTGGATTTCCGAAACTTTGAAACCCACCAAGTTTTAAAATGTATAAAATATACTATCAATCTAATACAATTACTATAGTTAAAATTTATATATTGTTAACTATCATTACACATGCGACGACTTTGTCTTTAGGCTTTTTTTATAGTTATCGTAAGCAGTTATTGATGATTTTACTTTCTTTAATTACTTTAAATTATTAAGCAGTCAAGGTTTTGAACTGCATCTATAATCTTAGTTACAAATCCTCAGAGTTGTACATTAATTTAGAATCCAGCTCTAATGTGTAATGGATTCATCACTATCGTTCGAATGAGAAGATTACAGGCAATGTCTGTCTTCAGCATTATTGTTCAAGCGTGATCAAGGTTATTTCAGGTGTTTTATTTAAAATAGTCCAAAAATTTTTGCTAATGACGAATATTAGCATTTTAGGAATCTAATTAGTAAATAAATAATTAAAACCAAAGGTCCAGAACCAATTTTAAAACTGCTTAGCTCAAAAGTGAACTGTTGGCATCTTTTTTAAGTAATATATGCTTAATCTATTATGTTTGCACATAACTCTTTTGAGAAATACACATATAGTATAACGCAGGTAGTTTTTCTTTGTTAAAGGTGTTGCTATTGAAAGATTTAAAAACTGCATCATTAGGTGTAATCTTCAATAGTCCTGGAATACAGCACCCAGCAATATAACACCCAGTATAAGAAAGATTTGCAAAAGCTGGTTGGTTACATGTCCAGCTTGGTTTATTTCCTATGCTAAACAATTTATAATATAATTTTCCTTCAGGCACGGAAACGTAGTCGTGATTAGTAATACTATTAATAGAATTATAGAATTAAAAACTGCAAAAAAAAATGAAATTTTAAATGGTATTATAATGAATGTATACGAACCAGAATTGAACTGAAAGATTTGATGGTAAACCTTCATTTATTATACATTTATTTTCCAAATCGTAATTATAGATACACATTTGCAAACTTTTATGATCAGGAATATGATGAAAGTGTATTCCAGTAATTATTTTTAAATAAAGTGGATTATATTCAAGAGAATTTGCATAATTCTTCAGTGCGCAAGTAGCTAAAGGATAATTTTTACATTTATCGTACATTTTGTAAATGTTGTGAGTGCCTTGAGGTTGTTATTTGAAACATTGTTACTAACTTTTATTTCTAATTCTTCTAAATCATTAAAATCCTCAAATTCAAAGTATTCAAAATCATTGGGAATGCCAATAATAATCCAGCCGATTTTTAAAGAATATTCTCTCCATTTATCCTTTCCGGATTTTCTGAATTGGTGAATGAGGAGATTTGCAGATTCATCAGTTGTATACATAACCTGAACAGAAAAAGTACCTTTTTTCTCACTTATTATTGTCGCAAAAATTTGGTGGTCTACAAAATTTTTTTTATATTTTTCCGGTATATCTAATTCATGAACATATGGATTTTGATTTGGAATAAACGTAATTTTGCGTTGATCCACATTAGCATAAAGAATTTTTTTTCCTAAAGTATTGAGAACACGACTGCGGAGGTCATCACCCAGAACTTCAAAAATCGAAACAACATCGCGATATTCTACAATACTCCATCTAGTGTAATCTTCTAAAGATTTAATCCATTCATTAACGTTTCTGCGAGCCATGTTAGTATCTCCTCCAATATATATAGGTTTAGTCCTAGATTCTTTACTATTTGATTCAATTTTTTTATTACATCTCGAATTCAAATCAACCATTTCTGTATTAATATTCCCACCGACTCCTGAC